TGCAGAAGCCGATGCTGCAGCGTACAGGGCTGCCAAGATGAAGCGTCCAGCCGCAGCTGCGAAGCTTCCTGGCGCTGCGGGCGCCAGAAAGAAGTCCAAGCTTGCGAAAGGAGTCGCTCCTGCAGCTGAGGCAGCTGGAGGGGTCCAGAAGCCGAAACTGCCCAAAGAGGTCGCTCCTACAGCTGAGGCAACTGGAGGGGGCCAGAAGCCGAAGCTGCCGAAAGGAGTCGCTCCTGCAGCTGAGGCAACTGGACGGGTCCAGAAGCCGAAGCAGCTGAAAAGAGTCGCTCCTGCAGAGGCACATGGAAAGTCGATGGCGTCCCGGCCGGCAAAGATGGAGACGGGCGATCCCACAGTCTTCTACAAGGGAGGCAAGATTCACCGGAATGAAAAAGCGACATGTTTCAGAGTCTTTATGTCTGAAAAAGACAAATGTGACAAAAAGGTCGCGTGGAAGACATGCGGCGAAGATGCTGCTTGGGAGAAAGCATGCAAACTTTTGGAGGACAAGTGATTGTGCCGTTGTCGCAGGGGAGAAAAACATGACGTGGCAACGCTTGAATACCTTATGGTTCAGGTTATTCAGGACATCACGTGTTTGCTGTGTGCTGCGCTGTGGCTTTTGTTTGCATCTATATATATAATTGCAGCCATTTTCAGTTGCCAAGCTGAATGTTTCTTTGTTCTTTCTGTTTCAATCCTCGACCTGTTTGCCGGCAGGAGTTGCTCCCGGCAACACTACAGGATTGAAACTCGAACGGTTTCATCAAAGGAATGCCAGTCCAACCCATATATATATACGTTCTTTTTGTTTCAATTTGCACTCTGCTTGCCTGCAGGAGTCTCTCCCGGTATAGCGGTAGCGTCAGATGATCAACTCTTTTGGCAAGAGATGTAACTATGATCAGTTCTCATAGTGATATATATGGTGAAGCAAATCATGACCAATGCTCATGGTGCAACACATCGCATCAAGGCTGAAGAATCTATTATTTGTGAGTTTCGGAGTCTCTGCAGGCATGGTCGTTCTGCAGCGATGGCGCCCAAGACACTTTCGGATGTCAGTGGAAACAAATTCGTTTCCTCCAGCGCTTTGAGCGTTGTGCTGACCAATGTCAAACACAATCCTGACCTCCTGAAGCGGGGCCTGACCCGGTGGAGCCTCAAACGCAAACGGGTGGCTGAATTAGCTGCTTGGTTGGTACTTCACAATTGCAGTTTGCATTTTGTTGTTGAACAAATAACTATAGTTCTGCGTAGTTTTGGTGTATAAACAACCACGTTATACAGCTGCTTCGTGAGCTTGAGGATATTACCGCATAGCCTTGGTGGACTTGCTTTGGGGCTAGCCAGCATCTTGGGGAAGCCTGCAGAGTCCACAGAGACATCGCTTGCAGTGGACTTGAGCTTCCTGCTATTTGGGGAGACAGCAACCATGGGCTGCCCATCTCCCCAAACAACCCCCCTTTTCAAGGGGCTGCCCTGCTTCACCTTTTTCAAGGTGCCTTTGCTGCTGGCAGTTGCCTTCAAAGCTTTGCCCTTTTTCAAAGGCTGCCAATCCTTTTTCAAGGAACCCTTGCTGCATTCACCTGCCTGTGCTGCCTGTGGCCCACCTTTTTTCAAAGGCAGGGTCTGCCTCAGCTGAACCTTTTTCAAGGTTTCAGTGAGTTCTTGGAACTCCTGGGCAGTCAGGGCAGAGACAACACTGGGTGTGGGCTTGTTCCTTGCCAGTTTTCTGACATGGTGAAGCAACACACCCAATCGCTCTGCCCTGAAGTTGACATTATATTTGGAGGTGTTCAGCTCAGGCTTCTCAGTGATGAGATGCAGCAATGCAGATCTCACCCCGTGGGGATGGATCTCAGCTGACCCCTCTATATCCACCAAGGCATTGATGAGGGGGAGCATCTGGGGTTGACAGCACTGTTCCTGCTCAACTGCTCATACCCCTTCATGTCCATCACCAGATCTTCATGGTCACAAAGGACCTTATACAGAAAACCTTGATCAATCAAAGGTTTGCTGAAATGCCTAGCCCCTCCTCTGCCAGACATACCTTTTTCAAGGTAGTTGTGGGCTTTCCTTTTTTCTCTAGGAACTTATATACTTTTTTCAAGGTTAAGGGCTTTCCCTATAGAGCTTTATACAGAGCACCTTTTGAGCCAAAACTCCAAGCAGCATGCACCCCAAAAATCAATATTTGGGAACAAAGGTTTCAAGGCAAAAATCAAACAGAAAATCAATATAAAATTTGACTATTTTAAGAACTTCTAGAGCTTATAAAAATCAAAAAAATATAATCAATCAAATCAATATATTCAATCAAATCAAAATCAATCAAAAAAGACAGAAGTTTATTGATCAGAATCAAGATTCGATGCTCAGCGATTATATAGATGCAATGTGGGATGCTTCAAGGTGCGCCCCGCTTTCAAAATGTCTAGTGACTACTAGTCACCTGCTGCGGCTATGTCCATAACCTCCAGTTGTCAAGACCCCCCGCGTTTTTTGAAATGCAATTGAAATTGGCCTGTGCTGTGCTTCACACTACCTGCCGACATGGCACCCTTTGCATTTTGCAAACGAGCGCTCAGCATCAATCTTGGTTCTGGAACAATCGCCCCGATCTACTACTACTAGTCTACCACTACTGCCACTACCACTACTACTACTTCTTCTACTACTACTGCTGGTTGTTGGCTAGTTGCTAGTTGTCATTTACGAGTTACTTGCAACTACTGCCACCATTGCCACTACTACCACGACTACTACTACTACTACTACTACTACTACTACTACTACTGCTGCTGCTGCTGATACTTATACTGCTTATACTTACTACTTATACTTACGACGACGACGACTACTACTACTACCACCACTACTACCATTACCACTGTCGGGGCACGGGCTTCGGTACAAGATTGGAGCGCGCGCCATGCGCGAATGTATGAAATCACACTGGTAGAGCAAATGGATGAAATCACACCCAGGACCCGTCTAGTAGCAGTAGCAGTAGTAGTGGTAGTCCTAGTCGTAGTAGTAGTAGTAGTAGTGGTAGTCGTAGTACTAGTAGTAGTAGTAGTAGTAGTAGTCGTCGTAGTCGTAGTAGTAGTAGTGGTAGTGGTAGTGGTCGTGGTACTAGAGCCCATGTCAGAGTAGACTGACGTCGGCGGCTCCAATTTCAGCCGACGATCTCATCCACTGTCCCATATTTAGTCACCATCTTAAAATCAATTTGTCCTAATTTTGTTGGCCGCGCCATCAGTGAAATCAGTGTCCAAATTTTGGTGTCAACCAACTTCGCACCATCAGTGAAAACATACCAGTCTTTCACACTGAGCACAATACACACACACACACACACGCACGCGCGCACAGCATTCTGCCATTCATCACAAGCGATGATGAGCAAAATTCTGCCATCCATCACAAGCGATGATGAGCAAAATTTTGCCATCCATCACAAGCCATGATGAGCAAAATTCTGCCATCCATCACAAGCGATGAGGAGCAAAATTCTCTGCCATTCATCACAAGCGATGAGGAGAAAACTGGCAAAAAACCAAGTTCAATGAAAGAACCAAGTCACAAGCCAGTGGATTTCAAGCGCTCGCTCAATTGCCGACGTAGGGTAGGTGTAGTAGTGGCGTATGAGATGTGCTCGTGAGGTGACGCCAGAGAGGCGCAATCGTTGAGATCCCGCAGAAGCATGGCCTTTATCTACCATGGCGCATTCGGTGGGCTTGTATGTTGTGTAAGGCGCACATCGAAGCCTACGAGGTGCATATCCTATATCCTCCACCGGTTCCAGCTCCACTGGGTTGCCAAAGAAGTCGGGGTGGGTTGAGGTTTCGACGCCGATGTGGTTCAGGAAAATGTCGTTGAAGGTGATGAACCGGTTGTCGACGTAGCGGTAGTAGGTGAAGTGGGTTTGACTGTGGTCTGTGAGGCTGTGGTGTAGCTGGATGTCTTCGGTGTCGATGGTGCGTTGAGTGTGATGCCGACGATGGTGCTGGCCCATGTGGGAGAGCTGGAGAGGGTTGCTGGTTGCTCGAATGTCGATGGTGAGAGTAGGTGTGTCAAAAGTGATATTCCATTTTGTGGTGAGGCTGTTGACAGCGTTGAGGAGTCGATCCTGGGGTACGGAGTTGAAAAGCCCCACCAGGTCGTCGTTGGTGGCATGTAGGTTGATGCGGGTGGGAGTGTTGGTAAGGTAGTTGTGGAAATGTCTTGAAAGTCCCGCAGCAAGGCGGACACTCTTAGAAAGCCTTGAGAACCCCTAACAGTAACCTGTTTGGGGAAGGACAGAAATCACCTAGGAGACAAATGAATAGAAATGCTGGAAAGGGGAAAGGACCCACTCCTAAAACGTGGAGTTGTTGATGTCATAGACTGTAAATTCGCGCAAGACGACAACGACCCAGTGTGGCTTGAAGCAAAGCGTCCCAGAACGCTGGGCCGGAAAACATCTACAAAGCGTCCAAGCCGCCAAGCGTCGAAGCTTCAAGGCGTGGTGGCGTCGAAGCGTCCACGCCGTCAAGCTTCGAGGCGTGGAGCATTGAAGCGTCCAAGCCGCCAAGCGTTGAAGCTTCGAGGCGTCGAAGCGTTCAAGCCGCCAAGCGCCGAAGCTTCGAGGCGTCGAAGCGTCCACACCGTCAAGCTTCGAGGTTTGGAGGCGTCGAACCTCAACCACAACAGCTTCCGAACTGCCGCCACTGCTTGCTATGGCTCCCGGCGCACGATGCCCACCTCGCACAGCCAGTGATTCGCTCGATCCTGATTGACAGGTTCTGTTCACACATTCAGCATATGTACATAAATACACAATAAACCTATACTGTGTTGCATTAGATTATGCGATACTTAGCTTCTCTGATGTTATATTGGTACCTGTTACATGACAATAATGCAATAGAATATGCATGAGTATGCTATATATATATGTGCAATCTATTCATTACTGTATGTGTGTTATATTCCACCAAGCTTGTTGCGAGGCCCCGCCAGCTGGGAGATTCAGAGGACTTGCTGTCGGTAACAAATGTGTGGTGCAGACAGAGTGGTGGAGCTCTTCTAGCACAGGAAGCTGGCAAACTTGCCTGAAAGACCGGAACATTGCTGGCGATACGATCAACTGAGGCACCAGACATGTACTGTGTGTTTTTTTCAAGCAGGGGTGATTTTGGTGCACATGTTGGCTTTCCGGAGGCACTTTTGGAATTCAAGCTGCTCAGAGAAGTACGGCGACGCGGTCCCGATAGATGCCAAGCCCTCACACGAACGAATCAGAGAGCAAAGTGTTTACTGTAAGAGTTTGCGCGTGCTTTGTGTGAGCCAGCACGCTGGAGAATAAGTGCGCCGCATGGGGTTGTGGTTCTAGAGTGTTCAAAGTAGATTGAAGGCAGAATGTCAATTTGATGGGCCGGAGGATTGTTGGCGTAGCTTTGTTATTAGAAACAACCATCAAAGACAGAGTTTTTGGACATGTGAGCAAATATCCAAAGAGGCCCAAACAATAGCGAGGGTCCTACACAAGTTCACGAAATTCATTTCTAGATGGGGAAACTTGGGTTTCCAGACCCTACTATGGACTTGACAAGGCATCCTTGATCCGATCCGTGAACAGGAGCTGGCCATCCTGCTCCTGCAAGCAGCAGGAAAACCTTGCCTTGTTCGATTGTGTCCTTCGGGTTTCAAACCATTTTCAGGAGCTGATGTTTCGCTAGCCAACAGGGAGGTGCAAAAAAAAACGAGAAGAAACTAGCCCTGAAAGACCGCAAGGGCAAGCAGACCACGGTACGTTTTATTTCAAGGTTTGTGTTGCAATCCCTTGTAAATGATGGTTGCTTTGAGCAACTCGCGCGTCAGGCCCTCATGCGACGAATGCACACTGATTCCAGACGAATTTCTGGGAAAGTGCGTGGGGCTCAGTCCATGTACTTTGGAGGAAAATGGTGAATGGATAAGGCTGAATGGAACAGATCGTCTCAACTTCTTGCCCGGTCCAGCTTTCAATTTTTTGGCGGGGAACCCAACAACGACAACATCTGAGTTGCGCTGATGAATTGGATGCATTCTCTGCAGAGATTCGTCGAAGTGGTGGCCTCAAGGCAGGTGAGCTGTTGGGAGTGACTTGGCTTTGGTCCTCTACAGTTCTTGGTCGTGTCAGAACACGCAGGAAATTGTTTGTGCTATTTTGGTGCACAGCGGTGTCAAAGAAGTTTGCCATCGGGAAGCCACCAAAAGCCAGGCTTTTCCAAGGGTCTGGCAAGTCCCCAGCCAGTGCCAATTGAATTGCGGGTCTCAATTTCTGAAGCAATTTTCATGCTGGACCTTGATCCAGATTTGAGCCACAAACGATTCAGGGGAGTCCAGTCAAGGACCAAGGACTTGTTTTAGAGGAAACAAACCAAGTTCAAAAGGATGTCAGCTTTTTGAAGTCCTCCTGTGTTTACTTGATGTCCAACCAATGCATATGTGCATACAGTATATTTATAGATTAATATACACATGCAAATCATTGGTAAACGAATATAATGGACATCAACTCATATAATCAATTTGGAATGGTTGTGGATTAAGTTCTTTCGGGCATATATAGTTACATATACATATATATATATACTGTATATACACACCCAAAGAGTTCAAAAAATCTAGGATGCGATGCTTTTCACGAAAGCTAGCTGTAGCTAGCTGGAGTCTGTCTTGCTTTAGCAAGGAGGGTGGGAGCCCAGGACGCATGTTGCGATCCCCGGCCAGGCATTTGCTGCCAAAAGAGCCCCAGCGTTGCTTCTTTGCCTAGCTTTCGCCACCCCCCTCTGGGCCACAAGTACAGTAAACAGAGAGGAGTGAGAGAGGAGGGATTTTGACAAAGAAACACATCCTCTACTATTCGCTCCAAGTCCCACTCTGCTGCGGGGGAAAGAGAAGTGGAGGAAAATTTATAGCCGCAAGGTTAAGAAATTCGCACTCTAAAAGTAAGACAGGGCCAGAGGATGGCAGTGGCTGGACATCTGCACTTCACTGCTGGTTCAACATTTTTGAGTGTTTCCCTCAGACTTCTTATTTCATGTGTCCCTCCTCGTACTAAATGCATTTGCTGAAGCACACGAACAGCAACCTGTCAACCTGGGCTGATTGGCTCCATTGATGTCAGAAACAAAACGTACGAAAGAATGACCCTCCATTTTTCTTCATTTGGCGTTTCTGCTCTTCTCACTTCAACCTTCATCAAAGGCTTTGAGGAAACACTCAAACAGCATGCTTCATCCTCAGCATGAGCACCGCCTTGCTTGACTTGGATCTCCCACCTTCGCTTTAGTTAGTGATGGACAAGGGTCAACAATAGAACTTGAGGGAAGGGGAAGGAAGGCAAAGGTGAGATAGGTAGAAACATGATCGGAAGCTGCGGACGATTTCACAGCTTTTGACTGGAATGGATTGCTGCGACACAAGAAGAGAAGGAGACATCAGCGAAGGAGAGAACCGCTGTGAATAACTGCACTGACCAGGCACCGAGCCTGGCTGCTTACATGGTTTCAGACGTTGCATCTAAGCTCTTCTTGGAAAGCTCTCGCCTTGAACAGTACACACCAAACTGACCAAGCAATGAATTGGCTTCGATTTTCTGACCTCATTATGAAGTATTGGTGAGCGGTGAGTTCATGTTTGTGGAGGGCAGATGGGAAAGGGTGCCGCGCAAGTAAGAAAGAGTACAGAATGCCTGGCTACCTGTATCCAGTGAGTAGAAGAAAGACGAAACCTTGCGTATTGCTGTTTCTAGTAAGGAAGGGAAGGGGAACGGGACGGAAAGGTTGGAAGGAAGGAAGGAAGGAAGGAAGGAAACAGCCAACAGAACCAACGCATAATATGTTTTCTGTACATTAAGCCATTTGTGCAATCCTTTTTGATTGCTTGTGTGTTGTGTCTTCGATACCTTCATGATTGAAAAGGCCCGAGTGGAGAAAGGGACAGCAAAGGACATTTCAAGTCAACGGTGGAGACCTTGCGTTATGCCAAGCCAACAAAGTCACTTCAGGCCGATTCTTCAAGTTACAATCGTGGGCGGCCTCAAATATTCGTAGCCGGCCTATGCCCACCACATCTAATCACAGTCTGTCCCATCTGGCCTAGGACCGACCCTGTCCAATCAGCAGCCGAGTTTTAAAACCACCAGCCCACGTGTGGGTCTTGAGGTCAAACATTCCACTTCTCATGTATTTTCCATTTGCCACAATGTGCCTTGTCTAACATTTCCTGTCGAACTTGTAGGAATGTGTCTGCAGTGGAGTAACCATGCGACACACACACCATTGAGTTTGAGCATACTTAGGGTAACTTGGTCAAGGGCTTTTTGAATTGAAAGGACACTCTTGCAACTTATACATGTGCATAGGCACTAGAATGAAGTTACGGCTATGACCACTTCATATGGCATCCTTTGACAGTTCCCATGAAAGAGTTTCAGGATCTATTTATTGTGTTTTGCAACTGAAACGATCCAAACGACAAAGAGCTTCAGAAAGTCTTGCAACATGCCAAAATGCAGAGCTGCAACAGTTCTTGCACAAAGCTCTTCTGACATCTTTGGGATAGCCTTTGGTGTTTGCTCAGTCTAACACTTGACTTTGCCAAGCAAAGAATTAAATAGACTCTAATATATAAGAGTGCATTGCTATGGCGAACCCGGCGAACGTGGTCTACTTCACAGAGAAGCTGCTGGAGAGCATTGAACCCTTGCCCGGCGTGACAGCATGGGCATTGTTTGAGGGCATGGCAAGCAACTAAACTTCAGGGAGTTGGATTTGTCCTACATGCCATATTGTATTGCAATGTACTGCAGGTTGTGCAAATCAATGCGGGTTTGCGTTTATCGATGAAATGTGTGTGTATATATATATATACATAATGATTGCAGGCCTACATTATTTTTGTTAGAATCCCATGTGGCAAGGGCCCTGTCTTAATTGACAGTACCGCAAAAAGATTGTCCCAATCAAACTCTCATGGCTGTGTATAGCCTGCGCATGCTGCGAACTTTGTTGACCTTTTCTTTTTTCGTGGTAGAGGTTCTATCCCAGCACAAAAAAATTGTTCGGCAGGCGTGGGTTCATGGTGTAGCGTTTGGAGGTTGGAAGCTAAGAGCTTCTTTGAGAAGCAAGCAGGATGGCATCCAACAATCTTTTTGGATAGGAGATCTGGGAGGAGACTGGATGGGACCATGCAGACCACGTTTGATTCTGAGCACGTTCTGCTGCTTTTGATTCTTGTATAGTTCGTTTGGTTAAGGCTTATTTATTGCCTGGTGATTACTTTTTCTTTTCAAAGGCTTTTCCTTAAAGCTGCTAGTTGCATTTTTGGATGCGCTTTCCACCGCTTGGGTCACCTGGTCGATTCTGTTTAAAGGATAAAAGAGGAAGATTAAAAAAAAAAAACACTTTTCACTTTTCACTGAGCTCTGAAGAGGCGGCGTTTTGCGGCCTCACCAGTGAGAACGATTCGGGTCACGCAGACCTCCATCTCAAAAGCATCGATCGCTGACGATCGTCCACCTCAATTGCCAGCCTTGGGTCGCTCCCAGCGGCTGGCAAGCATGTCATCCCTACCGCCCTCCTTCTGGTGGAGCCACCAGGCAACTGTCGTTGGAACCATTCATCAACGATGTCCCGTCGGACTGGCGACCACGCAACTGGCAAGCATTGACACCAGTGGGACAGAATGGCCGATCCGGGCCTCTGCAACCGAAACAACCGAGGTGCCTGTAGATGTTGCAGCATCAGACGGAGGGCTTTGCTGAACCATTTCACTTGGACAGGAAATTCATGACCTCGAAGCCTTTCAAGTCCAGGGAGATTAGGATCACTCCATCGGCGAGTGGCCGAATGGAAGTAAGGGCCTACCTTGCCGAAGGCCATCTGGTAGTCCACATAAAGCTGGGCTGGGGACACCCAGCTTCCCCATACATGGCCTGTGCAGACCGTCTGGAACCATTTCCACAGGCGATGAGCCTGATGAGAACCAAAAACACTCAGCAATGCGTGCGGCATGGAGGTCTCCTGCGAACACTGCACACACTGGGCCAATGGTAGGCGTGCTTCCAGGACAACTGGACGCATCTGTGGCCCCCCCTCCCGAGGTCGAAGCCTAAGCGACTCTTCCCCAATGTTGCAATGAAGTTGCAAAACATAGTTGCTAACTGCTTCAGCTTCCTGCAACTGAGAGAGTAGGCGAGTCCACACTTGCCAAAATTCCGGTGGCCGAGCATAGTTAAAATGCTTGGCCTGCATGTCAGCCTGATCGTTGAATCCTCTTGCCCAGTCCTCGACAGGGCCCGCCACCGAAGGGCCTACGTGCGCAGCGACTTTGTGGATCGTGATGTCGTGGTCACGGCCCAGTTCAGTCCCAATTTGTTCCCACAAATCTGCGTCATGGGCATTCGAACGCCCAGGGAGAGGAGCTGCAAGCAAGAGCTTCACCTTCTTCACCACGTTGTCACAATCCGACCATATTCGTGTGCGTCGACCAGAACGAATCCCGATTCGAATTGCGGCTAAAACCGCCACCAGCTCTGCTCGGCCACTTGTTTGCCACAATCCATGGAGTGCCCCCCCAGCTAAGCAGTCTGACCAACCACCATCATTCGCCACCGACCCTTGGAGAACTGCCCAAGCCGCAACTCTCACTCGCGGGAATTGAGGAAAAAGGCAGCTACCATCTGTAAACAAGTCCAAATCTCCTCCTCCAGCAGGAGTCTCCAGCTGATGAGATGCATCTGGAATCCTATCCAGCAGTTGGAAAAAGGTCAATTGGGCAGGTGGTGCTTGAATCCAACAATGCAAGCGAGTACACTCAGGCAAGGATTCAACCTGCGATGGCCGGAGATGTGCCAGTTGGTCTCGTACATGGGTGAAGGTTGAACAGTGCCAAATGCGATGCTCAATGCTGTCATGCTCACCACAGTGGGGACACTTGTCATCCCCATCCATTGATGAATACTTGAGACCATCCTGGGTGAAGAATGTGCCATCATGAGCTGTACGCAACAAGCCACGTTGTATATCTGTCAATGGCAAGTGACTGCCCTGCGACAACTGAGCATCAGCCATGCCCATGCCTGCAAACCCCCGACGTGATTGACTCAGGGTCCCAACCATAGTCTGCCAAGCATAAACAGCACGGAACTCCAGCTCTTTGAGGGAGACACGCCACAAGCTGAATGCCCCAATGCGATCCAACAACAAACCTTGTGACACATCCCAGCTCCATTGAATCCGGAGGCAACCCATGAAGAACACCCACAGAGGACCCGGTGGAAACTTGCCCTCCTGTTGAGTAAGAATCCACTGCAAATCAATTTGGACATCCTGCTCATTCTGGAGTCGTCGAAAATCCAAGAGAGTATGCCAGAATGCAAAAAATTCCGGGTCATGAATAGGGTGAAAATGCATGCCCAGCAACAGCAATGAATTTGTACCAGGTTTGTCGAGATTGAGGCCTCGCACAGCTCCTGCTCTCAATGTGACAAATTGCTGTTCCAAAATCCGAACCGAGGCACAAGCATGTAGAGCCCGAGGCCAGGCCGCTGTTCTCACTGCCCGCAACTTCTGAGCGAAAGGAGCACATGACACCCGAAGTCGCCCCCATAATGGGGCCATGGCTTCAAACCGAACTGCCTGTAGGCCTGTAGTGTGGCGTCGCCCATAAAACACACAGCCTCCCAAGTCTTTGGCCCAATATTGCAATGGCAAATGTAGCTGTTTCAACTGCTGCCGGTGATGACCGTGAGTGGCCCAGACATACGTTTTGTTCCAATCCACTTCTAGTGCCATGATCGCAGCGAAGTCTCGGAACTCGGCCAAGGCCATCTGAAGTGCCCTTGGGGAGGTTGCTGTAATCTCCCAGTTGTCCACATAGGAAACAGGTGTAGCCAAGGGCACTTGTGTAGACATCCAGCAATCAAAACTAATAGCAACTGCAGCCATGGCCACGCATGACAAAGGATCGCCCTCTGGAAAGCCATTGCATCCAACCACAGGGGGTCCAACGGATCCTCTAACCCGAAAATGTCGCTGGAGGGGAATGACTGCTCCAGCCCAAGCACGTATCAACCCAACTGCAAGACCCAGTTCGTTGCAAATCATCCAGGTGGGAAGACGAGGAAGGACATTGAATGCTTTGACCAAGTCAGCCACCAAGCCAACTACTGGGCGGTCATAGATCTGAGCCTGCTCAAGCCTTCTCTGCAAAACGAACCAGACTTGACCTGCAGTTTTTCCCGGCAAATTCCCAATGACCTGGGGACTTGCAAGATGTCCCAAGTGACCTAAAGCTTGTCGAGCCCGAATAGTACTCCAGACTCGATACACCATGGACAGGACGGTGATTGGACGGAACTGCTGCACCTTAGTTGCACCAGGAACTTTTGCCAATGCCGTGATGATCCCAACCAAAGCTTGTTGTGGCCAATGACCTCGATCTTCAGCATAATGACAAAGATCAATCAATTCCTGCGTCAACCCATCAGGCATCTGGAGTAGATCAAGGCGACTAATCCCATCCGGCCCGGTAGCCGAACACTTCTTCTTCGACTGTACTGCTTGTCTCCACTGTGCCAGGGTGATAGGCTCTAACTGCATCAAGGCCCTTGGTAGGAGAGGAAGAATTTCATCCTGAACTCTCTGCCATCGTCCCGGCCCATCGTCAGCATTTCGGTGCCACCATCGTTCCCATTCTCTGCCAAAAGCCCGAAACAAGGAAGGCAAATCTCCTGTAGCTGTCTCTTGGCGCACTGTTGCCCCAGGGGTCACCCCCGTCACGTCTTCTAGCCATAGCTTATCAGGTGTAGAGTGAATGACCTCCCGTGACCGGCCTGCAATCACAACCGGAGCATTGGTTTGGAATGTGGTGTCTTCTTGAAGGATCACAGCCGAGTCAACAAAATCAACCTCTTCGACCTTGCTACTAACGGTTTGGATCAAGATCTCAACTGACGATGCCCGCTCTTCTTTGAGGTCTCGAAAGATGAGGCTAGGATCCTCCAACCGGCGCTGGTGCGCCGTCCTGATCCGGGTGGACTTCAGTTGTTGTTCAAGGCTTCGGACACGAATACGAAAGCTATCAAAGAAAGCATAAGCAATCTCATAACCCGGTGGAGCCAAAGGAACTGCCGCCGGTGCCCCTTCCAATCCAATGCCATGTAATGACCACCAGTGAGCAAACCCTGGGCCGAAACCCGCTGCAAATCTAATGGCACACCAAAGTTCACTTTGTTGGTGAATCTGATGGACTGTCATCACTTCCCGACCCACCAATCTATAGTATGCTTGCAGTCGACGCAGCTGGCGAAACCAGTGAGCATGGAGGCGTGAAGGCCCAAAAAAACTCAGGAGCCACCTCCCCCGCCCGTCCCTTCCTCACTGGAGGGATCTGGGCTGATCGAACTTGCACCTGACCAGTGGTAGCTCTCCCCAAGTGGATCGGTTGCAAAGGTTCTTGATGAGCAAGGGCTGTTTGGTGTTGGAGTACAGATTCAAACTGAGCAAAGATGGCCTTGTACCACTCAGATGGGTTTGTCCCCGCCAGACCTGACCCTTGTGCACAATCAAACGGCTGCTTCCCCAACTCCGACTGCCTGGGAGGTGGGACTGGAGTCCTCCAGTACGAACGAGGAATCTGACTCCTCATGCCACGGAAAATGCCAGAAACCACTGCATGATCTGCAAACAGATCTGGCACGATCTCAATGCCCACCAAACAATGTTGCAACTCCGGGGACAGGAAAATCAAATCAGGCTGTGTACGATCTTTACATGTCATTTGCACCTCATGCCCCCACCGAACTGCAACCACCTCCTGTAACTCCCGAAACCCCAGGGATCGCAAATGCTGTAAACACGGCAAGTCATCACCCAAAGCATTGAAATCCCCCATAATGAACCGAGGGCCAATGGCCTCAAGAGCAATGCGTTGGATCGCATAGTCAGCAAGCTGATCTGTAAGGATCTTCGGAGCGGTACCATTGAGCTGGGATGCATATCCATAGATGATGCCACCTTGGACCCAGACATCTTCAACGCAAAACCCTGCAACCTGAATGCGAGCCGTTTGCCAAACTGGTGCAGGGAAGCTCTGTGGAAGTGCCCTGCCCGGATAACTTGTGAGAAATGCCACTCCTTCATGTTTGCCCACCATCTGGGAATGGGCCCGCAGCAAAGCAGGGTGTCCATGAATGA